TCCAGTTGAGCAGTCTGAAGTGGTTTGCTGCCTTCAGCTTCCACCCACTCTCCCCACCGTTCCCGTGGCCACTTGCTCCCATCCCACAGCCCCTCCCAGCTCAGCTGTGCCAACCTGCTTGGTTTTGTGGCTGTACCATGAGGTCACCCAAATTAAAGAGATCCTCTTCCTCCTTCTCCTTTCACCCCTTTTACAGCACAGACTGATTTCCTGATTTGGTGCAACCTCAAGTTGTCCTCTGACCTTTTGGTCTCCTTGCCCTGTGACAGGCAACGGTTTCAGAAGCTGAGCCATCACAAGGATTGCTCCAGCTGCTAAACCAGCTTCAGAGATCCATAGAATTGTTTGGGTTGGAAAAGACCTTTAAGATCTTCAGGTCCAACTATCAACCCAGCACAAACCCAGGACAAGGCCACCACTGCCCCATCTCCCTCAGCACCATCCCCAGGGCTTGGAAATCCCTCCAGGGATGGGGACTCCCCCCCTGCCCTGGGCAGCCTGGGCCAGGCCCTGACAACCCTTTAGGGAAGAGATTGTTTCCAAGATCCAACCTAAACCTCCCCTGGCACAACTTGAGGCCATTTCCTCGAGAAATAATGTGATAAACAACTGAGGGTGCTGAAGAGTCATGTAATATCATATTGTATCACAGACTAGTTTGGGTTGGAAGGGATCATCTATTCCCAACCCCCTGCATGGGCAGGGACACCTCCCACCAGCCCAGGCTGCTCCAAGCCCCATCCAACCTGCCCTTCAACACTGCCAGGGATGGGGCAGCCACAGCTACCCTGGAAGTTCCAGCATCTCACCACCCTCACAGGAAATAACTTTTTCCTAATGTCCAACCTCAATCTCCCCTCCTTAAGCTACAGACCACTGGCATTTTATACCATTATTTATGCATTAATAACCAAACCCTGCTGGTTTTATTTGCATGCCAAGCACCTGCAGCTCAGACAGAGAACGTTTTTGGGCATTAGCTTTTATTTCTTTCTGTAAGATTTGCATTGGACACTAGACGTACGTGTCCACATCAACAAACTGCACCCATATGAGATGTGTTTGCTGTCATGGCAATCACAGCTTCCAGCAACCACGGGCTGGATGTGGAGCCTTGTTACCCAAGACAGCAATTTGGAAACTGTTGATCTTAATGCTCAAGTGCTCTTACCCAGTGACGTGGGGAAAACATATGGCCCCTTAAAGGTGATGCTTCTGCAGCCCATAGTGCACTTAGCACGGCTCCTTCAGACACTCCAATGAAAGGCAGAATAAAATCAATCAGTGCAGACCATGGAGTATATTTAAACTTTACTGCTGAGCCCTTACTGACAAAAATTCAGCTTGAAAGCTTAAGTAATAGGTGCCCAAGGCAGCTTAATGAGGGGGTGATCTAACATGAGAGGGTAAAACCTGTAAATATGGCCAGAACAAGAATGATGGGGAATCTCTTGAAGGGAGAGTAACAACCAGGGAGTGATGCAGCCACTATTAAACAAAAAGCAGACATGCATGTTGATGAGGGGTTTAAGCTGTGATGGTGTTTCAGAGCAAAAAAAATCATATGACAAGACAAGAAGGAGCAGTAAGTAAAGGAAAGGACTGCTTGACAAGAAGGTGGGAAACAACTGAAAAGCTCCAATAAAACCTGTGCAGTGAGTTGGGACTGTGCATTCTCCTCAGCTTTTGTTCTCCTACTGAATTGATAGAAGAAATTCTTCACTCTGAGGGTGGTGAGGAACTGGGATGGGTTGCCCAGGGAGGTTGTTGATGCGCCATCCCTGGAGGGTTTTAAGGCCAGGTTGGACGAGGTTTTGTGCAACCTGGTCAGGTAGCTGGGTTTCCTGCTCACGGTAGGGGGGTTGGAACTAGACAATCATAGAATCATCCTGGTTGGAAGGGATCTTGAAGACCATCAAATCCAGCCATAACTTAACTCCCCCTACCACAACCTGATTTACCCATTCAGCACTTAAATCATGTCATTAAGCACTATATCTACATTTCTTTTAAATATTTCCAGGGATGGTGACTCCACCACCTCCTTGGGCAGCCTATTCCACTGTCCAACCAAGGGATCTTTAAGGACCCTTCCAACCTTAACAATTCTATGATTCTAATCCTCACATTTGTCCATGGGGTATCCTAGAATCATGGAACTGTTGGAAGGGACAGATGGATGGGCCTACACACAAACTACAGGATATTTCCTAAGCAAAAAACCAACTGACCCAGCACAGATAGGATTTTTTTAAAAAGAAACAAATTTCAGTCCTTGCTTTCAGCCTCATCCTTCCAATCCTGCCATTTGTTTACTTACTTATGCCCAACAGGTTTCAAACCATGGGCTGCCTAGTACCCCCTGGAACTGACCACGTGAAGAGTATTTTTTGAGGAAGAGAAACCTTGAGCAAAACTTGTGGAGAAGAGGTACCCCCTGCCACAAAACCAGAAGATTTTGCCAAATAATGGGATGATCTGAATTGCTTTCCAAGGGAAATCAGTTTCCACTTTCTAGCAATGTCCTCATTAAAGCAACTGGGAAGGTGCATCTTGCAAGGCTCCCCCTGGGTGGTTTAATGGCATTTGCTTGGCTACTCTCTATTGGTGACTGTAATTCTGGGCTGTTCTGTTGTGACACAAGAAATGAAGTATTTAAGGGTGTCCAGGGGCAATGGGACAGTGCTGACCCACTGGCAGCAGGATCCCCTCTTCCTGCCTTTTGCTCCTGTGCCCATTCCAGGGGCTGTGCCTTTCTAACGACTCGTACGAGCTCCTGCGCTTCCCGCCGCATCCGGGGGATCCCCGCAAGCAAAGTGGAAAAAACCCACATGTGGTCTTATCACAGCAGCTTAGGAGGAATGTTACAAGCATCAGGGAATGCCATTGGAAACTGCTCTGCCAGTGACATCTGAAAGCAGCTGCTTGGCACAGACACCTTCATAAGTAAAAACCTTCTTTGCTCTGGTTTTCTTAGAGGTTCTTCCAGGTCTGGACCATGCAGGAGACTCCCTGCCTGCTCCTGTGTCTTCACAGACTCAGCTGGGAGTGTTTAGAGGCCCTAGGTCTGCTCTATCGATCCTGACTGGATGGAAAGATAATAGACTCCAAGATACCACATCCTGACCTGTTTTACTAAGGCTGGTGGTTCCCTGCAGCAAGGGATGCTGCTGGGTGGGCATGAGGGAGTGTGTGTGGGGAACGTGCACCAAAAATCAGGGGGCAAAATCCATAGGAAATCACCCTCCATTCTTTCTCTTGCTCCTGGCAGAATTACATTGTCTTAGAGAAAGAGTTAACTCAGATACTTTGGTTTAGCCTGAAGTAAATCCTTCCCTAATTAGCCTTTTAAGGCATGGGCTGTTTCCATAACTCAGAGAGCACCAGGACTGTTTCCTACATGGACTGGAGAGTTGAAGCTGCTGCTCTCCCAGTCTGGCTTCCTCCCCACCAACGCTCTGGACCCAGGGTCGGTGTTGCCGTTAAAACTGCAGGAACCACCAAGATTCCTGTGCTCACGTGTTTGCTTTTGCCTCAGTCTCATTGCCATGGGAAGCTCTTCTCCAGGCCCTGCCATTCCCACCCAGCACCTTTCTGTACCCATCTGAGAGCTCCCTCCACCTCTTCTCATCCCCCCCAGAGTCCTGTCCTGGTTATTGCCAGAGGATTCCAGCATCTCCTGGGGGTTTGCATCCAAGCAGACAGCAGCAGACTTTGGATACAGCAGCCATGGCTTGTGTGAGATGTTTCTTACTTCTTCTATGCCTGACTGCACAAGGGGGGGAAACGAGTCAGTCTGTTGATGCTGAACACGACTGATTTTAAAAAAACTTGCATTTTTAAATAAATGAAAACATTTTCAGCTTTACTGTCTAGCTAAGGGCACATTGAAGGGTTCCCCACCTGCTATTAAGTGGTTGTCAAGTGGCAATTTACAGGGCAACAGGGAAGCACAGCTGTAAAACTGGAAGAAAGTCCATCTGAGCACACAGGGGATAGTTCTGTTTTATCTAAAAGCTCCCCAGAGATGCTCCAATTGCAGATGGGAAGAAAGCAGAGACTTGTGCTCCCAGGTTAAACAGTTAAGAGCCCGGGGCAACCAGCAGCCATGAAAGCCCTCGAGGCTGAAGTTCCCGAGGTCAGGGACTGCTTCCAGGAACACCACAAACCCCTTTCACATATTTCAGGCAATGCTTTTCCAGACCAAGATATGCCACCTCAAAAGGAGCAGACAATGTGCATCTGATTTGAGCAAACACCAGTGCTCAGGTTAACTCAGTGCTTACATCTAAAATTAGCCTGCCTCTTCCCAACAAATTCCTCCAGGCTTTGACATGATAGTATTTCCTGAGGGTGACGGGACTGCCCAAGTAACAACGGGGACTGGACAGTTTCATGGTGGCCCTTCACATGACTCCAGAGCTACCAGCTGCTACACAATGTTCCCAACTTCCACACCCTTGGGGAGATGGGACCCAGCTCCAGCTTGTGGAGGACCAGCTTGCTGCCTCACCTCCTGCTGCAGGTGGTTTTCTTCATTTTTTGTCTGTTGTTGAAATTATACCACAGGTCAGCACCGCCCCAAGGGTGAACACTGACAGCAACTCCCACTTCACCTGCAAGTTCAAGTGCTCATGGACAAGTGCAGTTTAACAAGCTGGTCAGGTTTTCCCTCATTGTCATGGGTGAGGGCTTCTTCCAGCCACAGCCTACAAGGAGAGCACTGCTCCTGTGAAAAGCAGGACAGGGGGAACTACCATCCCAGCAGCTCCCTAGAGCCATTAGTGCAAATAATCCCAGCACGAGGGCTCTGGCAGCTGGCTTAAAACCTGTTGCTGCAGAGGCACCTTCCCAAGTTTCACTTAAACCATCCTCCTTTCCAAAGCAAACTACAGACACAGGTCTCCAAGGGCAAGACAACACACCACCACCACCGGCCTCTGCTCCGGGCACGTGCCCAGCAGGTCTCCGTGCAATACAGAAAGGAAAAGGCTGCTTACTCTGAGCGTCTTTGCGATGGGGGAAGGAGAGGATGGGGGAGAGTCTGACTGAGCCTTCCTGCTGCGGGTGTATTCCTTACTCCTGGTGTACAAGGACGACATGGCCTCTGGGGCTGGCTGCCTTGGAGAGGCAACACAAGTCTTGCTCTCCTGTCGCTCTACGGCGCTGGGCAGGTCCTTCTTCCAAGGTCAGAACAAACTAATTAAACTATTCACAGCTCTGGTAATTAAACCCTGCTGTTTAGGGTGTATAATTTTAGGCATTAATCTGCTGCAGGGAGAGCTGAGGCTCCACAATGCTTCTTGTCCGACAAGAAGAGGAGAAAGTGTCAAGGACTCGCTGTGCTCCCGCGCCGGGCGTCGCTCCGCGCCAGCCTCACGGCCCCGGCCCGGCTCCTCCGCAAAGGGACATTTCCCCTCGCCCAGCGACTGGACCAAAGCGATCTCCTCCCAGAACCGCACGAGCCCAAACCTCCCAGGTCCAGAGAGAGTGCCAGAAAACCGGCTGGGGTTATCTAGACACGAAGCTTTTGCCAAAAAAAAAACAAAGGGGAAGAAACCCCAAACCTGCTGGGGCGGGAGCGGTGCCGCCAGCTCTGCCGCCGCACGGAGCCGCGCGCTTTAAGCGAACGGCGAGAGCATAAATCAGGAACAAACGCTGGTTTGGAAAGGGGGCAGTCCAGATGAAGTTGTGTTTTGTTCCTTCCTCCTCCTCCTCCTCCTCCCGGCGCTGTTACCCATGCGAAGGCTCCTCTCGGCCCTCCCGCCGCTGCCTTCTGACATTCCAGATCCTGACTCGCTCCGCCAGGAATGCTGGAGGGCAGCCAGCAGCAGCGATTCACTTTCAGCTTGGGATTTGGGCTGCCACTTGTAGGGGGAAAAGGGAAAAAAAAAGTCACAAAAAAAATGGAGAACAAAAGAGGAGGGGGAAGAAAACACTGGACAAGCTCCCGAGGCCTGGCTGGGCACGAGCAGGAGGCTGGAGGCAAATCGATGGCTCTTTGTAAAGCTGAAATTCCAGCACACGTTGTGCAGCTGCAGCAAAGGGAGATATTTTAAAGGACAAGGAGAGGTTCATACCAGCAAAGGGAGGACACAGGCACACACAGTGCAACAGGATTTTTGTTCATTGGTGTGTGTGGAGCTGCAAGAAGGCAACGCAGAGCTCGTGTGACATGTGCTCGGTCAAGAAGCAGCAGGATCGAGGGGATGAGAGGAGCTTGGAGGAAAGGAAGCATGTACTCCTCTTACCAAACTTCCAGCTAGCTCTTTGCTGAGCTCTTTGCAGCATCTCAGGGATGGCAAAATTGTTCACTGCAAAGGCAAGAGGATCCCTTGTGGCCCATGTGAACAAGCACACGGGATGTTCACTTGAAAAATGCTCTCAAACACACAGTTTGTGTACTGGTTTAATAGCTCGTTCACTAAATACAACCATGAGGTTGCAAATCTGTTTTCTTTTGCTGGAAAGGCAGCAGCCCATGTATCTGCACTGGACCGGTTCCAGTAGGGCAGCATCAACCAACCAGTACCACCCCGAAGGACATGTCCTCATCCAGACTCATTCTCACCCACCCAAACTGGCTGCTGACCAAGTCACCAGCTGCCTGGAGTCACCCGCAGCACACGAGCTGCTCCAGCCCCACAGGCTGCTTCACCATCCAACATTTCCTAGCAAGTGCAGAAGAGTATCTATATAAACATATTTTAAAGTATTTGTACACTTGAACATCTCTCTGTTGATCTGAAATACTGCCCCTTTTTTGCCCAGTGCTTGGCAACTGTGTAATTTTACTGACAGACACAGCTGGGGAAGGGTGCTTGGAACAGCAGCTGCATCAGTTTCTCCTGCCATCCAGCACCTGCAGCATCCAGGGGTGATGCAGCATCCCTGGGTGACCCTGGAGAGAGGGAAACAGGGCTGCTGGGCCATCCTGCTCTAGGAAAGGCACTCTGAGATCAGGTTTCTACTTGATACCCCATCATGAAGAAGGAGGAGATTCATTATTCACCGACTGCAGAAGGGGGGGAAAAAAGGAAAGTTTGGAGAGGTCTAATTCTGCCTGGCAATATTTCTGCATTCCCTTCTAAAGGTATGGAAATTAAGTCCAGACACACAAGAAGGTAGTGACAGGCACCCTGCTGAGCAAGGAGACTGTAGCAGGACCTTGATCTTTCCAGCCTCCATCTGTTGCACTCATCACCCCCCACCCTCCACCTTTCCCAGCAGCCTGGGGCTCTGGACAGCGACAACAAGGGAATTCAGACATTTTAAAGCCATATTTATAGAACTTGCACACACAGCTTATCCTTTGGCACTGGTCTCAGTTTCTGGGGTTTCAAAACAGCCAGTGAAACTGGGCTAACCCGTGTGGCCACCAGCAGACTGCAGTGTCTCAATCACAGTTCCCAGCCTGGCAAAGCCCAGCTTAGTCACCAAGGTGGAGTCCAACAGTTTGAAATTGCAGGGTTTGCCTTCCCCTTCCACCCAACCCTCCATGAACTGTTGCCACATCCCTCCACGGTCACGTTCCTGCTGAGAGGAGAGGTGGGAAAGCTCCAAAATCAACACAGAACTCAGCCTGAGCCTCAAACCATAACACAAACTGAGCTTTCTATTCCCTACTAATTAAAAGTTAATTAGTCATCCAGTGCAGATGCCTCACAGATTGACAAAACGCATCTTGCTGGACCATAACTCATTCTGAAGAGCGGAGCAGCATGAGAATTAGTATCCTTGTATTAGCCAGCAGAATGAGATGCAATATGGCAAAACATGTGGGCTTTCATCATTCCTTCAACAAAGGTGCCCAATTTAGGGGTTTCTTCCTGCTGTTCTGGATGGTTTCCTTTCAAGCTCTCCCCTGTGTAAGTAGGAAACACGACTTTTGCTTTGCTGCTGCCCTGACATCCCTAGGTCTGTAATACTCAAGGTCATGGCTTAGGTTTTGTCTGTTAAGGATATTTCTGAGTAGGAACCAGGGGCCTGGGCTGTGCTAGAGCTGTGGTGCTGCTTCATTTGCTCAGGAGTATTTATGCAGCTACCAGAAAGATGTGCAAAAAACCCCATCTGTGAGGATTTACACAACACTAGACATGAACCCTGGGACTGCCCAGACTGTTCACACTGCAGTTTATTTCAGGGCTAGATCACCTTCAATTTCTTCTCACCTGTGAGTGCAGCAGCACAACTGTTCTATAGTACTGCATATACAGCTTGCAGGAAGGCTGGGGAGGGAGTTTTTACAAGAGCTTGTAGTGAGAGGAAAAGGGGGAATGGATTAAAACTGGAAAAGGGAAGATTTAGATTAGGCATTATGAGGAAATTCTTTGGTGTGAGGGTGGTGAGAGCCTGGCCCAGGTTGCCCAGGGAAGCTGTGGCTGCCCCATCCCTGGCAGTGTTGAAGGGCAGGTTGGATGGGGCTTGGAGCAGCCTGGGCTGGTGGGAGGTGTCCCTGCCCATGCAGGTGGTTGGAACTAGATGGTCTTTAAGGTCCCTTCCAACCCAAACCATTCTAAGATTCTACGATATCTTCTATATTTATAGAAACCAGCATTTTTCTGTATTTGGAGCTATGGTCTTGGCTATGATCACTCTTTTCAGGCATCTTTCCTTTTCCTTTCAGCTGGCTTTCTTCTCCCTTCCTCAGTAATGATGCCTTTATTTGTACCCAGTTTTTTTAACTAAAGAGGAGGACCCATGTCCATGAAAATGATGTACCAGAAAGAGAATGAAGCTCTGAGCTAAATATTTGAGGGGAAACATACAAACACCCCTTTCATATGTGCTGAAAATCTTCAACTACAGAATATGACCTTAATAATACATTTAAACAGCCCTGTAACTTTCCAACCTGCAGTGGATAAAAAAGGGAAAAGAAGCTGGGAGTGAAGGCAGAGCGATGAGTGAAAGCAGAGTGATGCTGGCAGTGATGCAGAGTGATGCTCAGGGGTGATGTAAGCTCATGGCATGTTCTCTAGGAGTGCAGAGGAGAGGAAAGAAGCCCTCTTGGGAGACCAGGTTTGTAATAAAACTTGAAGGATGAGGGAGAGCAGTTGGTATTTTTGGAGCTTCTCATCCCAGAACCACCTCCTTGAAGTTGTAGCTGTCATTTTCCACATCAGGTTGATCACATTCTCCTGCACATCCCTGTCTTGGAGACCAGGTTAGGTCTGCAGCTACACCAGGCTCAGCTGTTGGAGGATCTAATCTCAAGACATGAACTGGGGCCACGCAGCACTAGGACGCTCCCCACACCACACACCTTCCCACAGGGCCTCCTTGGCTATGTCTTGGAAACTAAACACAGCCAGGGACCCTCCCTGCCCACCAGCACACAACCCTGCAGACCACTGAGCTACTGGAAGGTCTCTGGGATTGTCTTGTCCTTGGCCAACAATTGCTCCTCTACACACAACGTGGGCACTTGCAGGGACCATTCCCAAGAGGCACTTTGGACACGGCCACACAGAATGGGAGGGCAAGAGGGTCTGGCAACAGGCATGAGCCTTCTGCTAAAGAGAGTGAGCTAAAGAACAGCTGGGGCCAAGGGGGAGTCAGGGACACCTGGGACTGACACAGAATCATGGAATCACCCTGGTTGGAAAAGACCTTCAAGATCATCGAGTCCAACACCACTGACAAGTGCTTACCTAAACCATGTCCCCGTATCACCTAAAAACTGTATCTATAGGACTCTGAAATCCCTCCAGGGACAGGGACTCCACCACTGCCCTGGGCAGCCTGTTCCAATGCCTGACAACCCTTTTGGTGAAGAAATTGTTCCCAAGATCCAAGCTAAACCTCCCCTGGTGTAACTTGAGGCCATTTCCTCTTGTTCTATCACTTGTTCCTTGGGAGAAGACAGCAACTCCTCCCTGGCTCCAACCTCCTCTGAGGCAGTTGCAGAGCCAGAAGGTCTCCCCGCAGCCTCCTTTGCTCCAGGCTGAACATCCCCAGCTCCCTCAGCTGCTCCTCATCAGACTTGTGCCCCAGACTCTTCCTCAACTCTCGTTGCTCTTCTCTGGACATGCTCTAGTATCTCAATGTCCCTTCTGCAGTGAGGGGCCCAGAACTGACCCCAGTATTCGAGGTGTAGCCTCAGCAGTGCCCAGCACAGGGGTAAGATCACCTCCCTGATCCTGCTGGTCACACTATTCCTGTGCCAGGATGGTGTTGGCCTTCTTGGCCACCTGGGCACACTGCTGGCTCAGGTTCAGACACTGTCAGTCAGGTCTGCTCTGCTGGGCAGCTCTCCAGCCACTCCTCCCCAGTGCTGCTACACACTCAGCCTTTGGAGCCAGGGTCTCACCAGAGCCCTTGCTGAGACCCTCTCCTACACTGGGCCAAGCAATAAAGACCAAGTGGGCTGTGCTGCAGGGACACTAGTTGCAAATTATAACCCAGCTGGATGCTCAGCAAGATGGAGGTGAGCAACACATTTCATGTTTGCCTTTGAACCTCTTGCTGAGACTATTTTGCTCTGTGAGAAGCAGAGAAACCCCCAATTAATTAATGCCTGCTGGTGTCCCCTCCCACAGAGCTTAGTTGTCTGATTGATATTCAATTAAAAAAATGCTCACAATCCTCACTTCTGGACTTCCCACTTGCAGGAGAAGAGTGTGCTGTTTGTGTGCTGAGTCATGTTCCAGTTTAGGGAAACACTGAAACGTGCAATTCGTATTTTATGCAACACTAATTCAATACTAAATAAATTCTAAAGCCACATTTATTCACATGACACTTCTCTGGAGAAACAGAGAAATAAACTATCCTGGCAGTTGTTTCTAAGAGCCAAGCTACAAAGCCACTCCATACCCATAAAATAATTGTTCTCAGTCTAAAGAATTTCTGTAAAACATCTAGAGGAGCTGAGTTTAAACATGAAAAACACATTAACTATTGACGCAGGCTGCAGAGAACAGAGTCAAGATTAGATTTCCTATTGCTTTCACATTACTGGATTGGCATACAAAACTGAAATCCATAGTTCAAATGTCCCCTTTATAATAACATTTATTCTGGGGGCAAAGTTTAATAAATCCTGTGATTCCCTTCACCTCAGGCTGTCCTGTATTTGTGATTATTCGAGCCCTAAATACCGCGCAGCCCCTGCACAAGTTAAAGGGTCCCACTGCTTTGCTCCTGCAGGGGTTTTTTGCCTTGTGTCTTCCAACAGAAGCAAATCAGATCTGAGTGTTATCTGCAAGGAAAAAGTCTGTGATCAGTCTGATTGTGAGTCTGAGGAGCCAGGAATTCCTGTTTAACACATGGGGCTCCCCAGTCAGATGAAGGTGTCAGTGCTGGGGAGCACTGCACCTCAGGTACCTGCACACCAGGTGCACCTTTCTCTACACAGGATCTTGCCCTACCAGCTCTCTGGAGAATTACCAACATTTGGAAAGGAATTTACCTGCAAAGAAAAACATGAGCCTTATCAACCTCTCTGCTCTCCCATCTTTATTCACTTTTTGTGCACAGAAATCCTGCAGGCTCTGCAGAGGAACTGCTCATCTGCTGATCTGGAACTCCCAGCACTGTCACTGAACCAGGGGCTGCGACAAAAAGCCAGGCTTTAAAAGTTATAATAACAAGCTCACACTGTTATCTGTGAACTGAAATGCAGTTTGCAGACCCATGTAGGAACCCAGAGAGCCAAAGAGCTGCTGCTGTTACGTGGGACAACTCAGGGTCAAAGCTGGAGCAGCTGCATTCAGCCTAATACCCAACTCACTGCTCAGTCTGAAGAATGAAAAGTTGATTGAAAATCCAGGCTATTCAAAAAAGCACTTTAAAATAATGTAAATAAATCACTTTAGAATGATATGCAAGCTTTCACAGGTTCAATTATAGCTTTGCAGGGCTTGTTCAGAACTGACAATGGTTGTGTTCAGCAAGAGAAGGCTGGAGGGCTGTAGCAAAGAAATTATTGGTCAGGCATTGAGCTGTGCTGGAAACGTGATGGGAGGCACTGCAGCAGTTTCCCATAAATGGATACAAACCGTGGAAGTGAAGGGCCTTTCATCTGCAGTGCCCTGCCTGGGATTCCCAGGAGCAGCTCTGGCATTAGAGGAAGCTGAGGGAAAGGATCTTCCTCTTCTCCCAACTACACACCCAGCAGCTGACAGTCTATAATTGCACCTATAGCATCAGATTTCCCCCACTTTTTATTCCCATCACTAAATTTATCAGCAAAAGGCTGGGAGGCACCCCCATCAGGCATACCTGGATTAGCATGAAGCAGTAGAAGATTATTTTAGTGTGGGCTGAGAAAAGCACATTTTAAATATACTCCAGAATTCTTTTTACTTTTGTACAAATCTAGGAAATAAAAAGCAACAGTGAAAAGAGTTTAAAAAGCTCCATTCTCAGCACAACAACACCATTTTAGCCCTGCAGGTGTCAAATTATTCACGCAGGAGAAATGTCTTCCAGTTCTGTGGAGCAGAGCTGAGTTTTGGGAAGAAAAGATAATGTGCCCGGAACACTCAAATCCAACATCTCTAACAGGATGAGGAGCAGGGGAGTTCATTGACACCTCCCAAGGATCTCCCTGACCTCAGAAGCTGGGGACTGAATTTAAAGAAAAGACTGGAATGAAAACAGCCTGGAGGAGGACTTAGGGGTGATGGTGGATGGGAAGCTCAACATGGGCTGTCAACATGTACTGGAGCCCAAAAACCAACCCTGTCCTGGGCTGCATCAAAAGCAGCATGGCCAGCAGGGAGGGGATTCTCCCACTCTACTCAACTCTTGTGAAACCCCATTTGGAGAATTGTGTCCACTTCTGGAGTCCCCAACAGAAGAAGGACATGGAGCTGTTGTAGCAAGTCCAGAGGAGGCCTTGGAGATGCTGGGAGGACTGGAGCAGCTCTGCTCTGGAGCCAGGCTGGGAGAGTTGGGGTATTCAGCCTGGAGAAGAGAAGGCTCCAGGGAGACCTTAGAGCACCTTCCAGTGCCTGAAGGGGCTCCAGGAAAGCTGGGGAGGGACTTGGGACAAGGAGTGAGAGGACAAGGGGGAATTTTGCTGTGCGGCTGGTGAGAGCCTGGCCCAGGTTGCCCAGGGAAGCTGTGGCTGCCCCATCCCTGGCAGTGTTGAAGGGCAGGTTGGATGGGGCTTGGAGCAGCCTGGGCTGGTGGGAGGTGTCCCTGCCCATGCAGGGGGTTGGATCTAGATGACCTTTAAGGTCCCCTCCAACGCAAACCATCCCATGATTCAACAATAATTCTGTGATTGCAGAAGAGGGATTTAATCATCTCATGTTCATCACCTCCAGCAGGGCTGACAGCAAGTGGTTGCAGCAGTGGATGGTGATGGGAGCAAGAACCAGCAAGAGCAAATCAAAGCTGCAGCTACGGTCTCCCATTAGAGGGAGACAGATGTGGCACTGACTGCTTTGCCAAAAATAAATGTTCCTGAGACCATGGATTTGATTCCATTCAGTGCTGTAAATGCAACCACAGTTACAAACCCTGAGGCCTGGGATGACCCCAGCACCACGGATTTTCATGCCATAATCCTCAGTCTCCACACACCAGCAGGAAAACAATGTGTACAGAGGTCCTGCTTCATGTCCACCCAAAGCCTGGCTCTGTCTACTCATAGTCAGGCTTCTTTGCCCAACACAGTTACTGCAGAATCATTGGATCATGGAATCATTTGGGTTGGAAAAGACCTTTAAAATCATTCAGTCCAACTGTTCCCCCAGCCCTGCCCATTCCCCACTGCCCCATGTCCCCCAGCATCATCTCCAGGGCTTGGAAACCCCTCCAGGGATGGGGACTCCACCCCCCTGCCCTGGGCTGCCTGGGCCAGGGCCTGACAACCCTTTCCAGGAAGGAATTGTTCCCAAGATCAAATATAAACCTCCCCTGGGCAATTTGGGGCCATTTCCTCTTGTTCTAACCCTGCTTCTTTGGGAGAAGAGACCAACCCCCCTGGCTCCAACCTCCCCTCAGGCAGTCCCAGAGCCAGAAGGTCTCCCCTCAGACTCCTTCGGCTCCATGTTTAATTCAAAAAAAGCTGCACGATAAACTCCAGAGAGATTCTCTCCCCTGTCCTCTCAGAATTCCAATTTAGAGCATTGCCAAAAATCAAGCTGTTTCATCCAGTTACCCCTACTGAGGATTCAGCAGTCTTAAAACATAGTATGTTCCAGTGGAAGCTGTTCAGCAGTTGCACTCTGCAGTGTTTGCTGACAGGTCCCCCCTTCCCTGATCCACGTTCTTACAAAGGATGAAGCAGCACAAACACGCTGAGTTACAGGGGAGGAATGCAGCAGAAATTTGCAAAGATATTAACAGGCCATGTCAGGGAAACTGAGAAAGCAAACACTAATATAAGAACCAGATGTAAACACAGCTATTTCCAGCTAAGGGACTTTCCAAAATATGACAGAAATCTCAGGGCACCCACAACGGAGTCATGATCCATTTTGCTCTTTATCTGAATTCACCAGACTCTGATGCAGGCTCCTGCCTGCCCCAGCCCCTCCACTAGAAAACCTTATGTGAGCCCCTCTGTGGAAGCAGCTGGCTCACACTGAGCAATATTCCAGTGCTGCTGGCCAAGCAAATGTATAACTTCATCATATTGCTATCTAACTGTGCTCCAGTTCTGCTTCTGGTCTTCCTTCAACAGCAGCAGACTGTGGTGCAGAAGGCTAAGTTCACTTCCAAGGACTGATCGATCTATCTATCTATCTATCTATCTATCTATCTATCTATCTATCTATCCATCCATCCACCCACCCACCCACCCACACATATATATATAAACAACCCACAACAGTGCCCATCTTTAGCTCCATGACACATACCTACTAAAATGAGGAATTAAACTGTCCTGAGGCCTGTTTTAAACCAAAGCTGGTGGGAAATTCCTGCCAGGAAGGAGTTTTGCAGCTTAAGGATTCTACATCTTCACATACCAAATAATCAAGTAGCTTCATTGCCAGACAATGTTACTCCTCATAGGGAAACTCCGTGTCCAAGAGCAAAAAAAGCTAACAATGACTTCCAAATATGAAGCTTTTTCTGAAGAGAGAAGCATGTGGGAGGATATAAACTCAGAACAAAAAGTGACCTTTTAAAGACAAGCGGGACAAATAGCCTCACCACACTCACATCACTGGCACACACAGTTTTTCCTACAGTGGTAGCTTCCAAAGCATATTTTCCCTCCAGGGAATTTTACTTCAGTTTTCCAAACAAATTTAGGTTACTCTTAATTCCTTGCTGGCCATCTGGCAATAGAGCTTCTGCTTTTTGCTCCTTCAGGACATATTTGGGAGATAATTTACTACCTAAACTGGGGGCTCCACCACTCCCCATGGCACTTCCAGGCAACAAGGAGCATCAGCTTCCCAGAGGCTCTGCTGAGGAGCCACGAGGAAGCCTCCACCAGCAGCTGGATCAGAGGGGCTAGGAGGGCACGTTCCAGTTGCATCTGCTGGAGCCACCTCCTCCTGCCCACAGCCTTTCAGCCGTTCCCCAGGGCACAGTCGTGCCACCCTGGCAGAGCCAGCAGGGGCTGCTCAGAGAGCTGCTGCTGGATGCAGGGATTTTAGTCCAGCAGATGAGGTTTTCTGAAGGATGTCTTCAACCACATCAGGAGAGACATCCTCCCCATGCCTGGCTGAATGACTAAGTATGATCATGGGCTCCCAGAGGAGCAGAGAACCTGTTGTAAGTACTTGAGCAGTCAGAGATATTTTTCCTTTCTCTAATTTTGAGTGCATCAGATGAGACAGAATTTGACAGTTTTGAACAAAAATTAACACTATGCTCCTTTACAAATTTAAACACAAACATCTGCTGTTACCTTTAAAAAGTCAAAAACTATAAATGCAATTAGACATAAATCACAGAATCATGGAATGGTTTGGACTGGAAGAAACCTTAAAGATCATCTAGTTTCAAACCCCCTGCAAGGTCAGGGACACCTCCCACCAGCCCAGGCTGCTCCAAGCCCCATCCAACCTGCCCTTCAACACTGCCAGGGATGGGGCAGCCACAGCTTCCCTGGGCAACCTGGGCCAGGCTCTCACCTCCCTCACACCAAAGAATTCCCTCCTAATATCTGATCTAAATTTCCCCTCTTCCAGTTTCAATCCATTCCCCCTAGTCGTCTCACTAAAAGCCCTTGTCTAGAGTCTCTCCTCAGCTTTCCTGGAGCCCCTTCAGGCACTGGAAGGTGCTCTAAGGTCTCCCTGGTCTCCTTCTCTTCTCCAGGCTGAACACCCCAACTCTTCCAGCCTGGCTCCAGAGCAGAGCAGCTCCAGCTCTTGGATCATCTCTGTGGCTTCCTCTGGACTTGCTCCAGGAGCTAGTCCACAGTTAGATGCATTCTGTCTCTGGGATATGGACCAGGGAGCTATGCTGCTCCTCAGACAAATAGGTCTAGGCTGACAGCCACCCTGAACGTGACTGGTCCTGTCTCCTGGACTGGCCACACTGGACCCACCCAGCACTGGAGATACGTGCACACATGGCACTGATCCTGCTGCCACCCCATCCATCACACTGCCCCAGTTCCTTCTGGGAAGAAAGCAAAAGGATCCCGGGACACCTGTGAGATAGCTGCCATGTACGCAAAGAGACAGGACCCTGGGGTGACGTGGGAGAATCTGAACTGCCTGCACTGGCCTCCCAGCAATGCTGGCAAACGCCAACTATCTGGTGGGTCCCATGGTATCCGATGCACTGCCAACCTCAGCTCCATTGCTCCAGGAGAAATGATGTGCTGACAACTGGGAAAGATCACTCCCCTTGGCCTGCACTGAAATGGTGAGGCTAGTTTACTAAACAAGAAATTAAAGCATAAAGTTACCTTAAATAGTTATGAGCCCATGACCTTGTGAATCATTCCTGGAGGACTCACTATTTTGCTCCATCTTCCTGGGGCTCGGAGATGGGACCTGAGCTGGTTTTGTGTTACTCCTTTCCATCTCCATTGTGGACACTGCTTCACATTACACCTTCCTAATTCAGCAACTGGGTGAATTAGAAGAATTAACCTGAAGGCATTTAGCTGTAACCCTGTAGCCTGCAGAGCTGCCCTGGATTGCTCGGCTTTAAGCACAATGTGTTTTCCCAGAGCTGTAAACAGGCCTGGGCAGCCACGCTGAGTTCAGTGCTGCATCAACAGGGACAGCAGACAGCAAGTCTGATGCCCTTCCCTAAACCTTAAGTTTAAGAAGAACCAACACCAGCATGCTAGGGTGGAGAGCACAGGAGGCAACACATCAGGACGTGTGAAAAAATTTTTGGTAGAAATATTTGCAGAACGAATTCCAATTTTTATAGTGTCTTCCCTTCCACGTCCCGAAGAAGCCAGGACACTAAACTCCATGAAACTGTGCCACATTTAAAGCTTTATGGCAAAACATCAGCTCATGCTCCTGCAGCAATTTTCTGCTGTTTAAGATTCAGCTTGATCTTGCTGGTGACACACACATTGCAGATCTCCCTCTCTCGCAGAACACACCACCCAGTACAGCCTTCTGTTTACAAACAGGACTCGAAGCCAGTCTCTCTCAGCCTGACTTTACACATAATGAAAAGCTCTCTAGTTTGACTTGACTCACAGCTCCACCTCCAGTCCCTTGGCCAGAGGCCAGATGGCTCCTCTCCCACTGCAGCTCTGCTGGAAGGGACCATTCAAGGGTAAAAGCAGGGAAAAAATCCTTGCCTCCTCTGTCCCCCAAAGGGACCCTGGGCTGGCAGCAAGGAGGCAGAGGATGGATGGCACCACACAGCACTATCTAGATGAAAAGATTTTACTTTCTTATCAGCTAGGAACAAGTCCATCTATTCTGTCCCTTTTGACCAGTCAAGTTTTCCTTGTAACTCAGCAAACCAGCACAGCCCGTGAGGACATACCTTACCATATTAGGCAATCCAAGTCCAGAAAGTGGAGGACTTGGAGCCTTCCATAACTTAAAAAGACAGTCCACAGGCATCAGGGAAAG